GTTAACTAAATTTAAACTAGTATTTGTTTCTATAAATTTTAATCATAAAAAAATTAAATATGAAAAAATAGAAATTTAAAAAAAAAAAAAAAAAACAAACCCGGGTCAACCCAACCCAGGTAGCTGCCGGTTCGTGGTCGAACCCGGTCCGACCCCCGGTCCGGTTTTCAAAACATTGGTTATAGTGATTGGTTTTGAGGATCTTTTAGAACCAAGGCGAGTTGTTGTTGCACACTACCAAGGAAGCAAATGGTTGAACAACAAAACCGTTTTTCGTATAGTCTCTATTTTGAATGATCACACAACAAAAGCTCCAAATATATGAAAATTAAATGACTATAAAAAATTCCTTACTCCTTCACGGTTTGGAATTGGCTCTGCTCGGGCTTCCTCCGGGCCGGAGAATCAATCCAGACTGGACCATCACCAGCCGAATGATGGCTTGTCATAGGTGGGACAAAAGCGATGATATGCTTCTGAAGCTGGCTGTAATTTACAGTATTTGGAGAGAGAGAAATGACCGTCGACATAACCGTTCCCCTCGTACTGTCCTCCAGATCGTGCATGCCATTGTTCACCTTATAAACCTTCGTATTGATTATCTCTTCTCGGCTCATGACGACGATCGCTCGCACTTGCGTCATTGTTGGGCATGTTTATTCACCGTTCCTACTTCTCCTGAGGATCTTGGTAATTGTGGTTGAGGACCAACCTATTACCGATCCTAGTTGAGCTTCCATAATCATGCGCTGTTTTGTCAACATTTTCATATTGCTCTGTGTGTTTGCTCTGTTTTACCAAATAATCTTGTATATTCTTTCTTTTGTCGATTAATCAATTTTACATTTCAACAAAGAAAAAAAAAACTATAGAAATGATAAGATATCCTTTTCCTCTTTTCATGTATCATGGGACAAGCTTAAAGTACGCGTTATAGATGTGAAAAATGGTAGCTCAAGTTGGTTCGTATTACAAGATGATGATCGTTGATTTTATAAATGCTTTAAACAAGCCACATCTTTCTTCTTTCTCATAATTTAAACCTTGAACTTATGAGATATAAATCTTGTTTTCATCAATATTAGAAGATACTTTTGATTTGATATTTGATATATTTGTTATATATATTGTCATTTACGACGAGTGAATATAATTCTCTATAACACTTGGAATAGGGTGAACAACTCTACAAACGATTTTAGTACACGCAATAAAAAGAGCTCCCATAGATGGTTCCATATGCAATGTTCACTATAAAGTTTCAAAAAAAAAAAAAAACATGTTCACTATAGATAACTTTTTTCCTTAGCATATGTGGTAGTATGGATGTATGACAAACGGCATTCAAAGAATTAAATATCAAAAAATTACATAAGGTATTATTTTTGTCAACATTTTGAAAATTTATTGCTATTAAGATTAAGGTAATCAATATTTATGATTTTATTACAGTTGTTTTAAAAACTAAATATAACTATTTAATACAATTAAACATATTTAAGATGTAATTTGATATGTTTAGTATCTCATCAACAAAATATTAATATTTTAATGTTTATTTAACTTAAAACATTTATGTTAAATTTTCATTAATATTTTTAAACATATCAAATTACATCTTAAATATGTTTAATTGTATTAAATAAATGTTTATTTTGTAAAATAAATGAGTATCCAACCAAAAGAGGTAGTATTTAGTAGTCTCTTAACGTAAATAGACTTAAAATATTAATATTTAGTAGGACATCTCACCAATGGAATTGCTTGGTTAAACTTTTTTCTTTACAAATAGTCAGTCTTATATCATTTTAAATAATATTATCGTCATCTAACTATATAAAGAAGGAAAAAAAATTGTTATACATACAATCAAATACTTCATAAACAGAAAATTGTAACATATTTCCTTACAAATAGTCAAAGTCGTATATCATTAAAATCATTTTTGTACTAAATTTACTTGATGCCATATCAAATTTAACATATTAAATTCAATTTGCTACCTTTAGACCAAAAAAAAGAAAAGAAATCAATTTGCTACCAAATTTACTAGGTGACAAATTTCAAGTCAAATTTCCAAGAAACCATTGCTAGCCAAAATTTCCAAAATTTCAAGAAGAATAAGTTTATTTAGCATATCCATTGTATTTAACTTATGAATTTTTATTGCCAGCTAACTATATAAAGAGGAGAAAAAAACGTTACACATAGAAACAGATACTTCAGAGAATAAAAAATGGACAAGATCAAATCTTTAGTTGTCGTTAGTACCATCACAATAATTTTGTTGTTGGTCATTACAGGTTAATCAAACAATCTCATTACTACCATTCTCATATTTTTTTTAACTAAGTTGAAGCTTATTTTTCTTTGCTTCGATATTAACTAAAAGTATACACATGCTTTTGTTTTTACACATTACAATTTCTGTTTTAACTAATCTTTATTATTCTACAGAACAAATAACCGCGATCTCTGTTGGTGACGAGTGTTTCGGACGGTGTACTAAAAAATGCAACCAGGTTTGCAATTGGTATGGTTACAAATTGTGCAGCTTTTAGAGACAAGTCAGGTTGTTGCTGCAAAAATAAGCTAATTTTTGAACATTTTGCTCCATGGAACAACTAAACCTCTTTTTGCATAGTCTTTAATTTGTCTGATCACTAATAAGAACTCCAAATATAAGAAGTTACAAAATATTCCTTTTCTTCTTTTTACGTATCATCTTTATATATAAAATGGGGTGATAAAAGACGATTACTTTTAATTTTGGACTATTCTGTAATTTATAAATAAATGACTAGGGGTTTATGCCAGTACACTTCACATCATTGAGGACAACTTTGCAATATCAGCATTCTTATTAAACGACAGCGTTTAGGTCATTTCTTGGTCTGAGTTTCGATTTGTAAAACGCCGTCACAAGCCACCACCACATAGAAGGTGACAACAATGGAAGAAGCAGACGAGCCGAACCATGAAACCCTAGATCCAGCATTGCAGAAGAAGCACCATGACATGCTCGAACGTCTCTCTGCTCGTCACCAAGCTCGAAAATCCGACTCTTCCTCTTCCTCTTCGTCTTCTTCAACCCTCGAATCAACCTCCTCGTTCCTCACCAAATTCGCAGATTCAAAACGATCCATCGAGTCACGAATCGCTGAGTCACGACTCGTTTCTTCTTCATCAACGGATTCGTCGAAGCTTAAATCGGAACTCGCTGAGATCTCATTTTCGATTGACAATCTCGAGAAGCTTCTCGCTGAGAATTCCTATTTCCTTCCTTCTTACGAGGTTAGATCTTCTCTTAAATCTGTCTCCGATCTCAAACAGAGTCTCGATAATCTCTCCGGTGAGTTAGTTCCGAAGAAGAAATTCTCATTCAAAACCAAATCGTCTTCGAAAAAACCGGAATCGATCCAAAAACCCGATCTCGTTTCACCTCCGAAGATCCCTGTTCGTGATTCTCCAGGATTCAGAAACAAACAAGGAGAGACTCTGACGAAAAATTTCAAAGATTCGTCGTCGATCGGAGAATTCACATTGTCGGATCTGGATTCATGCCAAGTAAGATTGAAAGGAACTGTAAACGCTTTGTTTATTCACAGATTGAAGAACTGTTATGTATACACAGGTCCAGTGATTGGTTCGATTTTGATTGATGATGTTGAAGATTGTGTTCTTGTGTTAGCTTCGCATCAGATCAGAATTCATTGTGCTAAGAAGACTGATTTCTACTTGAGAGTTAGGAGTCGTCCTATAATCGAAGACAGTAATGGAGTTCGATTCGCTCCTTACTGTTTGAAGTATGATGGGATTGAGGAAGATTTGAAGATTGCAGATTTGGAAGAAGAGACTAAGAACTGGGCCAATGTTGATGATTTCTTGTGGCTGAGAGCTGTGCAATCGCCTAATTGGTCCGTTTTACCGGAAGAAGAAAGGGTTTCTTCGGTTTCAATTTCCGACGATGGAGATTCTTGATTCGAAATCATCAGGTAGGTACCGATTACTTCTTCTTCAAGCTTTGTGATTTGTGTACATTCTTGTGAGACATCTCCAAAGAAGTAGTCTTTTTGAACCTACAAGTGTCTTATGTATTCACAAATGAGATTTTAGATTCTTTGAAAGACTATAATCGAATTTTTTCCGATTTTGTTTTACTTCATTGCTTGAAATGTTACTTCTTTGTTTTGTGATCTTGGAGTGTGTTGCAATTCAATTCAAGGTTTGATTTTTGTGCGCATTCCAGAGTGAGAAGCCAATACCAAAGTGTACAAAAAGTAAATGAACTGAAAATTTCAAATATTATGAACAAGATTGGTCATAGTTTTATTTTATACCAAAGTTGAGCCTACCTCAAAGCCTAGTGCTATTGGGCTATAACAAATATGAGCCCAAATGTGGAAAGCCCATAACAAAAATGGAACCGCCTGATTTGACTGTCTTGACTCTTGACTGTTTTCAGAACAACTTGTGTTTAAATAAAAACATTAGGAGAATTGACACAAACTGAGCCATCAAACAAGTACTGCAATTAGAAAATGTTAAGATATGATTTTAAAATACATCTTCTCAACCTTAAATTCTCTTCTTCGAAACAGTCAAACATATTTATTTGAAACAACGAATAAAATTAATAAGCTTTGCAGGGAAAAAAAAATAATAATAAAGTAGGAAATTTTTACCAAAAATACTATTTATCTCATAACATTTTCAAAAAATGTCATTTTCTCTTCAATCCTCGAAATTCTGCCATAATTCACTGTTCATAGGGTGCGAGATAACTGTTATACCCTTAGTTATGATCTATGGTATAGTCAATGTTTATTATCCACCTTCATCGAATGTTTGTCCACAACCATCCACCACTGTCTTCGTCCTCGTTTTTGTCCACAACCACTGTCTCTCTTTCGTCCACCACCATCCACCACCATATAAGTCCTCCACTGACTGTCTTCTTTGTTTTCGTCCACAACCACCGTCTCTATTTTTTGTCACCATCATCCACCACCGTTTCCATTTTCGTCCACAACCATCATCCGCCACCATCTTTGTTTTGGTCCACAATCGATGTCTTTATCACTACCATCCACTACCTTCTTCGTCACAACTCTCCACCACCTTTGTCATTACCATCCACCACTTCCATCACTATCAACAAAAAA